AACAGTAATTGCAGAGCTACTGGCAAGGAGCACAGGATCTTGGATGGTACGAGGGCTATTGGGTCTAGGGGACTTGGAGTGGATAGGTATATTGCATACCACTAGCGTTGTTGCCTGGTTATACATTGGGTTTCTCCCCACCCGTGTGCATTTCCAACCCAGTCAAGATGTGCATTGCTGCAAGATCAATCAAAAATCAAAGGAGACCTTGCTATAACCCTGGCTGAATGTTCGTGGCTTTGGGAGAAAGCCGGAGAAAGCTAACAAGCAGTGAATTTGGACTTTTGGGCTTGAAAAGCAGCCACTTTGATATGAGAACATTGTACCTACGTCCATGTTTGGAATCATGCTTTTTGAATTCTTGTACAGCGGTGACATATGACCTATTCTCGCACATGGAAGAGACGAGTCATTCCGAGACCTCCTCCGGGATTCAGAAAACTGAAGCTCCTCCCCTATACCCACTACACCCTCAAGCCCTAAACCACGCTGTCAAGACACCCCCTGGGGCCTAAAAGTTGTGCTCTAAGCCTCAAGTGCTAAACTCCAAACCCTGAAATCCAGAGCCTGCTTCCCAATCTCGAACCCATAACCCTCGGGTTTAACCAGAGTTTAGGGTCGGGCTTCTGAAGCCCAAAAAACTCGAAGCCAAACCTGAAGCCAAAGCCTAACCCCAAAACCGAATTCCCCCGCACCCAGTATAGCATACCGCAAACTCTAAACCCTAATCCCCGAGCACTTCGAAAAACGTAGATAAGCCCCCCAACCACAACCCCCAAACCCCCGGAGGGTAAAATTTAACACGCCCAACCCTAGACTCTAAACCCCAGAATCTGAACCCTAAACCATAAGCCTAAGCTATGAAACCCAAACCCTACGCAATTGTTCCCATGACCTGCCCTAAGGGTCTGAGTATTCAACAAGTCCGTGCTTAGGTAATGGTAGTATAGGGTTTAGAGCTTGGGGATTTAGGGAAACATGTGATTACTGACCTTTGCAAGTTTTCCGGTTGTATCTTTTGATTTTGTACCCATGGCTTCGTTTGGAATTCCAAGCCGTGAAACATAAGCCCTGATTACGGTTTAGAGTTTAGGCCCGCGGGTACAAGCCTTGAGGGTACAAAATTACACATGGGTTCCCCTACTACCTCCCCTATACTGCCGCCCCCCAAGGTTCACTTAAGTAGGCCGAATTACCCCAAGAACGCTTGTGTAACGGGGGAACCTAGTATAGAGGGGTAACAAGGGAACCCATGATTAAGGCTGAAGACCACCCTAAACCTTAAATCCCCAACCCTAAACCCTAAATCCTAAGCCCCAAACCCTAAATCCTAAAACCTAAAACCCTAACACCCTAAACCCTAAAGCCTAAATCCTAAAACCCTAACACCCTATGATTACCTCCGAAAACCAGGTTTCCCGACCAAGACGAGACTTTGCTCCGGGGAGACGCAGATGCCGGAGACCTCACGGGGTGTTTAAGGGTTTAGGGTTTAGGGTTTAGGGGTTTAGGGTTTAGGGTTTAGGGGTTTAGGGTTTAGGGGTTTGGGGTTTAGGGTGGGGCGCCCCAACCATGTAGCTTCAACTTACTACCAGTAAGGTTTAGTAGGGAATGAGGGAACATAGTATATGGGATTTCTTTAAGGATTCCATTCCCTTATTCCCCAACCTGAACCCCAAAAGTATGTAAACTAATGCACTTTTGGGCTGTTTTTTAAATGATTTGGGGCTATTATTTTACCTACTTTTGGGGCCCAGGTAGTTACGTCGCTGCCCCTACCTTACAGTAACTAAAATAATGGGTCAAGGGTAGGGTTTAGGGTTTAGGATTGAAGATTTAGGATCCCGGGTTGAGGGATTGGGCAACCCGATTTATTTGTGTAAAGAAGTATATAAACAATGCCAGATTTTATGAAATCTTGGAGGGTCCGGGTATACATCGTAGGCTCTCTGCTAAATCTTAGGGCTCACGTTTTAGAGTTCGGATTGCTCCATGTAATACGGCAACTTAAAACTTGTGGCGTGCCACGGACACTGAAGGGTCCTTGAACAGGATTCAAGGGCTTAGGGTCATTAGGGGGTTTTGGGATTGGGGTTGAGAAAGCTCAGGGTTTATTGGCTCATACAGGGGGTTTACAAGGATTGTAGCTCATGGAAATCTAAACAATTCACAAATATCATGTCTGAGGTCTATTTGAGAGACCCCAGACCATGATTGTGCAAGGAAATTAGGCCCGTGATTTTTTTTTGTAAAGCTTCCACATTAAATGGGATCGTTCCGCTAAACCCTCACCCCTCTAAAGCCTGAACCCTGAACCCTCAACATCATTCCCCATGGTAGCCGGGACAGTTTTGCTGTGTTTGCTTTCGTGGCTTGACCTTGTTGATTTAGGGTGCATCACTCACCTATGGTAAGTTGGGACGTGAGAAGCTTTGGGTTTTTCTGCTTGGGGTTTTCAGGTCTAGGGCTTAACATTTAGAGGTTGGGCCGCGGCCCCTGAACTAGCCCAAGAAGCACACAAACCTACTCCGTGGGCTACTGGTCCTTGCAATCCTTATAGGAGCCTATGATACCTAATATAAGGTAGCTGGGCATCTGGGGAATCCAGGGTATTGTTACGACTGGGATCCAGGGCATATACCTAGCGATGCAATGTTTCTTCCATCATTAGAGCCTCTTACCTTCGAAGGCTTGGCGTCATCACACAAAGGATCAGCAGAGATATCAGTGGCCTCAACCCCATCATCAGTCAGAAAAGCCCCGCGCAAGTCACCCCTTCCTGCGGGAGAAGCAATGCACCATAGTGGCCAGCATGAGGTGTATCACCAATGTGCACAATGACTGCTGAGGTCTTGTAGCGCACAATTCTGACACGGGCTGAGCGCCCCACGAAGATTGGAAATTGCACATCACCCAGGGCAAACTTCTTTCCCTAAACCTTCTACCTTAAACCCTGAATTAAGGCCGCCTTGAGTTACATGACATACAATTACAATTGAAGAGTGGGCTCACTTGAGCTTGCGATAAAATGCTGCCATTGCTACATGTGCCTGAACCTACATCCTTGAACCCTCCTTGGAGTCTAGGGTTCAAACTATGACCCCAAACCCTAAACTTTGATCCCGAAACCCGAAACCCCAAACCCTGAAACCTAAGCCCTAAACTCAAAATCCTCACCAAAACAATCCTGGCCCTGAAAGATGTCCCTGAGCAGCCAACTCCGAAACGAGGATCCTGCCAGTGAGCGTTAGGGTTTAGGGTTCGAGTGTCTGGCTTGATTTTAAGGGGTTAGGCCTAGGGTTTAAGGTTCAGAGCCTTGCCGCTTATCTTACCCCAAGGATTCCAAGTCGCCAAATAACAGGGTTTCAGGTCCCAAGAAACATTCCGTTTGTAGGTTTTTGGGCCTAAAACCTTGTTGTTTGTGTTCTTCGACCGTTAGGGATATGTACGCTTGCATGCCGCGCGGGGGGTCCGGGCTTAGGGTTTGAAGTTCAGGGTTTGGGGTTTAGAGATTAAGGTCGAATTTGTAGCCCCTTAGAAAACTTCTTTGGGCTTAAGCTATAGTAGAAGTTAAAACCACTTCTTCGGGGGATAGGACAGGACGAAGAAGGGGCTGTAGGGTTTGGCGTTTGGATAAAGGGGGTTGCTGTTAAGGAACTTAATTTAAGTTACTATATTGGGGGAACCAGATTATTTACCATATATATACCCATTATGGTAACTGAATTTAAGTTCCTTAACAGCAACCCAGTAAAGGGGGTAGGGTTCTTGAGGTATTTCATCCTGAAGGAGCCTGGGCTTTACTGCTTGGTTCAGTGTTAACGGTTTTGGTTTAGGGTTCTGAATTTAGGGCTGTGCAACTCTTGGCCCCCTACAGCTTTAGTGCCGCCTCTCGTGGATGGAGGAAGTCTTGCACAACCTGACCCTAAACCCTACCTAAACCCCCCAAAAGCATGTAAAATAATAGCCCTAAACCCGAAATAATAGCCCAAAAGGCCATCATTTTACATACCTTTGGGGTCCAGGTAGACCCTAAACGCTTTTGCAGGAACCTTCTTGCACCCCACACCAGGCTTCAGCTGCAACGCTGCAGACTGTACTAATGACAGGCCGAGCATTCTAGCATTGTCCCTGGACTCTCCCCAAGGGTCCATGTACCTAATAGTTGGGTACTTAGGGTTTTGGTAATAGGAATTATAGTACAGGTTTGGGGTAGGCATATGATTATTAGGTACTTAGACCCTTAGGGTCTAGTCACGTATGCAACGTCAACAACGATTGACTGCTGAAAGTGTCTGCATGGAATGATTGCAAGTCAGAATAACACGCCTCCAAAACCCACTGGTCCGTGTGAAGGTCGAGCACCAGACCATTCAACTCCGGTTGCATCCAAAAACATCCACACATGAAGAACAGCTACGAGCAAACCTTGCCGACTGAAAGTCCGCACCCCATGGTCATCATGCGCCCACATTAGTTGCCAGGTATCGTTCCCCTGTGATGCCAAATGAACTCCCTTTCTCCACTCAGGGTTCCCTGCTGTAGCTGTCATGAAATCAAGTAATGAAACCCATGGAATTGGCAATCAGTGTGTACACACACAAACACCTACAGACATGCAGCCATGCAGAAAGAGAGACAAAGAATCGAGACGCAGAGACATACACAAATGCATACATTACCTCGCGCTGTAGAACAGCCCTCTGCTTCCTGTTGCACAACAGCTCAAAGAGACGTCATCTACACCCTTGGCCCTTGACTCATACTATCACCCTTAGGGGTGTGGGCAGCGCCTACACAGTAATTCGACGTCCATCCCAGTGCAAGTACCCAAGCATGTGTTCCAGAAAAAAAACCCTAAACCCTAAAACCCTAAAACCCTAAATCCTTTCTCACCCTTTCTCAAAGCTGCCTGGCCCTCAGCGATTGCAGAAGGCAAGCTAAGTTCGAAGAAGCTACCTACAGCAAGTCCTACGGAGGCGGAATGCCTCTCCAGCAGCGCCTGTGTCCAGAGATCGCCCTCTGTGGCAACTGCTGAGCGAGGAAAACTTCGATCTCATGCCAATGATCCGCCCGCATGCGCAGTGGTATGGATCCCAGTTTTACCTGGAGTGCAAGCGAATCGGGTCGGCATTCCACCATTCGCCAAACGCCTCCAGCTTTCAAAGAGAACTCTCGTAACTGCCTGAGGAAGAAGCGGATCCAAGCCGGTGTAGGTACATGTACCAAATGGCCATTTCGCTCCAGAGCAAGGTCTTGCCATCTCTTGTCCCTGAACACTGGGGGGCGGCGAAATCTCAAACAGAACCCAAAGAAAAGTTGGACAGAAGAAACCCACTTCACTGGCGCTGCCGGGTCATCCAACAAACCTGCCCATGTACGCAGGTCACGTATGAAGTCGGAACCATACTTGTTGGCCAGCGCTGCCTCGTTTTCTTGTCCCAGTCGTCCCAAAGACCCGACCCAGTCCGGTTGTGGCGCGGGCTGCGGTGTCTCGTTGTCGCGGGAAACCTTGTTTCGTGTAGCCTTATGACCAACTCGAACATGAAGCGCAGCGACTTCCTTTGCAACGGAAAAGAAGCGGTCCCAATCCTCGCAAAGTCCCTGCCAAAGATTCAAGAAATCTGAGCCACGTGCGGACTGTGCCTGTTCGGCCGCTCTGTCGACCTGGTTGTTGTAGTATGAACACCACTCGTCACCAAATGTAGTCTCGAGGTCCGGCTGAAGATGGGATGTAACCTTGCAAACCACAATCAACCGTGCAAGAATTTCCTGGTGCGGCAGAATTCGGAGCCAGAGGTCAGCATGCCGTGTACGCACGCATGGAGTCCAAGAGCCCTCCAGAAAACTACGAACCCTTCGAACCACCCCCTGGCAGTCAGACCAAATCCAGGTCCTCTTTGCAACCCGAACGCAAAACAGCAAAGCCGAAACCATGGCACAAAGCTCAGCCCGAAATGCCGACTGAAGCAACCCTGGAACAACCCCATCAGCAAGGGGGATCGGCATGTCATAAGAAACAGGAGAGGCAATTATGACCGCCCAGGAGGCCAGACTCAGCGGCCGAGTGGTAGGACGCAAGCAGCTACCGTCTACGAAAAGATGGTACCCCTCCAAAACCGGGAAAGGGTGGAAGTCCACTGGATTCCCCTCAGTATCTATCAAGCGCCTGCGGAATTCATCCAAAGAGGGGGGGCGAGGGGCCCACGCATGGAGAAGCTGTGCCGCCGGCAAGCCTTCCAACTGCGCCTGGTCAAGGCGGCACTCCCGTCGACAATCCTGAAAGAAGGGGCAATCAAGCAAGCGGTGTCGAATGGAATCCAAGCAGCCACAGAAGTCACAGAAGGGACTATCAGCCTGTCCTGCACGCTTCAAGGCATTGTTCGTAAAGAAAGTACCATTGAGCGAAAGCCGAAGCAGGCCTCGTGTCAAGGCTGGCACTTGGCCTGCAACAAGATTGGTGAGATGGGGCTCCATATCCTCCATTCCTTCGAAAGTTGGCTGGCGGGTCAATGAATGCTGCACCTGGTTCTGCCAGCGAAAGACCAACCGCTGGAGCACTTCTGACAAGCCCATCGTGCCATATTCATCCCGAAAAACCTGCTGCTCAACATCCCACTGAAAGCCCACGGAGTTTGCCCTTTGGAGAAGCAGGGTGGCAGGCCCCGGGACCACACGCAGGTCCCGTGCGGTTAGGTCCAGAAGCGGGGTCAGGGCATCCTGTCCTGCAAGGAACTTGGCATCCTTGAAAGTAGCCTGCAAAGCGAAGAAGCCTGGGTCATTGATGGAGAACCCCACCAAGGAGAGTTGCACAAGAGGATTCGCACCAGGTGCGCGCAAGCCAATGGATTTCATGGCATCTGATCGCATCCTGGTGAAACGCCGCTCGCCGAGAGGTGACGAGCTGATGCCGTGCAAGGCGGCAGGCCAGGCGGCCGTGCCCAAGGCGCCGGAGCTTGTGCGAGAAAGGGGCAAGGGAGGCTTCAAGTCGGGGCCATTTGTCGTCCAGGGCCTTGATGCGATCCGTTTGAGTGAAGTTGGTGCCCCTTCTAGAGGAGGACAAGTGAGCCCCCAACTCCCTAAAGTCCAGAGTGACCTGAAACCCAGCCTCCCGGAGGACCCGCCTTCCTTTAGCACTCGTGCTCCAGACCACGGTTTTGTCCTTGTCAATGGGGAGGTCCCATGCCCTGGCGAAGTCCGTGACTACGTGGTGTGCTGCAACAAGACCTTCAGGTGAGCAAGCCAAAACGTGCCAAGTGTCCACGAACGAAAGGAGTTGGCCTGCCGGGCACGAGACGCGAAAGTTGTGGTGGCACGCAATATTGAGGACTGCCATCGCCAGGCAGCTCAACGGGTCGCCCTCTGCAAAACCCGTAGAAGACAATAGCGGGGGGCCTGTACTGCCTCTGACCTTGAAGTGTCGGGAGGCCCCACCGTCTGATCCCCAAAATTTGGATCTCTGCAATTAGATCCTAGTCACTCAGCGCGGGACTTTTTAGTGGACCCAATCAGCTCTTCTACGCGGCTCATTTGCTCCGCGAAAAGGGACTGCAAAAGGGTCTCCTGCGAGTCGACCTTCTGGGCAACCTGACCAACCTTGCCATCAAGTGCATTGATGCGAGCATCCAACTCTCCATGAGAGGCAACCAGACGGCGTTCCACTTTCTCCATGATGGACGCTTCCAAGGATCCTTGACCAGGAGTCTCCCCTGTACTGGCCTTGATCTTCTGCAAAACAGACTGCTCGATCTGGCGCGCCGTGTTTTCTGGGATGGCTGAGTAGCCTGATTGGCCCTTGCAAGCCTGGGACCTGTCAAGTGCTGCCTTCCATGGGTCGGCCTGCTGAAGGGGGTCAACTGCCTTGTTGTCTTTCATTCCCGGGGCCGGACACATGCCTTGAAGAGTGCGCCTGGAGGCGAGGACCTGGGGTCGCTCCGGTTCCAGCTGGGCCTTTGCTGTGATTTCATGGTGACCTCCCCAAAATCAGCATGGAGTGCGTCCATAAATACCGGACATTCCACTTCAATCAAGAACCACAACCCACCCCGTTTTCCCGGTGACGGCTGTGCTGGGCGAGCCTTCTGCCACCCAAAGGCGACAAGGGCACGGCTTATGACCTGACGTTGAGTTCCGAAGGGCCAGGGTCCGCTTTCATATGTACGAAGGCGAGCTCTATCCACCCACATGGTTGTGGGACGAAGCTTGGAGTGCAAGTTCTCCTCGTCCTTCTTGGCACAGCGCACGCCGAATCGGTCTCCGATTCTGGCAAGGCCAACTACAACCGGGCATCAGCAGTCCTTAGGGGTCTTGGGGTTTAGACCTGAACCCAATTGCAATGGTGCACTGGAAGGACATTCGGGATTGGCTGTGCCCGGCTTCTGTCCTGAGATTGCCGCCTCCCCTGACTCCTTAGGGTTGCTTAGGTTTAGTCCTGATTTCCTAGGACCATGCCGTTTCCCCGTTCCGGCAGGTCTGCCTGCACCTACTGTCATTGAGGTCTCCGACTCTGAGGGAGACGAACGCATTGCCGCCGCCGGTGTTGTGGAACAGTCACCACGGGTCACTTCGGCTTTGTGCGGTAGCTCCCTGCCTGAAGGAACGAACTGCATTGCATCGGACCTTGACAAGCCTGGATCTTGGAATAGCCATGTCGTCACTGAGCCGTGCTGTCTCATGCATTTCCTGTGGTCCATTGGGCCGTTGGGGTTCTTGGCCACTGTTGATGGACACCATCGTCCCTGCCACATGCACCCTGCATCCTGGTCAGCAAGTCTGGGTCTGGAGACCGGATTTTACTCCTGCTCTGGGCGGGGCGGCCCTCAACCCACCTGCCTTCTGGCTCGGAGCTGTCGAGGAGCTCAAAGCGCTCAGTCTTTCTGCTGGCCTGCGCAGGTTAGCGCTCCAAACTCAGGGCACCTATCTTGCTGATGACCAGTTGGCCGGAGCCCTCGCACGCATTGCAGGAGCTTGCCATAATGTGCAGTTCGTTGACCCACTGCTCATGATGAAGTGTGTGCAAGATGAAGATCCGGAGCCATTGAGGCCTTTGGGGGCAGCTTTCACTAGGGAGGTCACAGTTATTACAGCGGTTCCCTTAAGAGGCCACTGGGTCACCTTTGCCTGGGATATTCGCTTCCTCCGCTTTGAGGCGTGGGATAGTTGTCCTGTGGGGATACTTGACGTGGAGGTTTCCTTGGTCCACCGCATTTGGGGAAAGGTCCTTGGGTTTCGGAGACGAGCTCCTGCTCAACCGCCCGTGCCGGGCCTGTGTGGTCACTTTGCCATTGCAGATTTGTGGTGCTATCTTCGTGGAACTGCTCCTCCGGATCCTGATGGGGCGCTGGCCCTCGCAGCCACCTTGCAAAGCGGTCTTTGAGATCAGTCTGCGCGATGACCGGCTGGTCAGGCAGCCACTTTTCTATGGAGGGGGTGCCGGAGACTTTGTCTGCCAAGGCCTGGCATGTTTGCTCAGGGAAAAGGGAGTTCCCCCGGCCAGAGCACAGGAACGGGCAGTTCAAGCTGCTGACAGGTTGGGCGCCAATGCCATCCAGGATGCCATGACTTCTAAGCTGCCATGGAAGGCCTTGAAGCAGTTGGGGAACAATTGCTCTCCCCCTCTCCAGTTTGTACTGCAGGATGAGCCCAGGCTGAGCCCTATTTACCCTTGGGGCAGCCGGTGAGTCAAGGGGCTTTGGCGCTTGTGATCGTGGGGGACGTAGACTGCACGTTGGCCACAGTTCAGGTGCAAAAGGTCAGGTTCAGAGCCAAGCTCCTCGCATCAGGTGAGCCACTGCTCCTGAACGGCACTTTAGCACAGATCGGGAACCAATGGGTTGATAAATTCGTCCCTTGCACTACACCTGTGGATGTGGCAGACAGCTGCGTGGCCCGCCTGGCCGTGTACCGGGATGCCTGCCCTATCCCGTGGCCTGCGACACGGCTGGCTGTGAGTGCCAGAAATGGCACGGCATTTCAGATCCTGGACAACCCCCAGCTCTGCTTGAGACGTGGGGAAGGTATTTTTACAATACCGCGTTCAAACCTGTTCCCCCCTCAGCTGCCTCCTCCTTCCAAGTGTTCGTCAGGATTCCTGCGCAGCTCGAATTGCCGTTGCAAGCTTACTCTGGGAGAGGGAGGGTTGTACCATGTCTGCGCACTCCTTGCTTGCCCGTTGCACGGTAACGTACGCTCAGCCCCACGCGCGTCTGGCCCAGGGCATGGCGATGACAAGTCCAATGCACTTGCGCTCGACCGCAGTGCACTCAAAAGGGGCAGCCTTCAGCGCCTTGGCGGCGTCTTCCAGGCTGTTGGGAGGTGCAGGAGGGAATTGATCCGGCTGGGCGGGATTGGCAGCGGAGAAACTTCCTGCACAATGCTCCTTCGGACCTGCAAAAGTCTCTTGCCCAACAGGCCGCAACGTGAAGGGGGGACGAGGAAAGAACCCTGGGGTAAGGGTATCCGCACACACACGTGGCTCGCAGCCAGCCACAGAGAGTGAACCCATGCGCGGGCCATCCTGAACTACCTGGCCAGTCTGAATGAAGCCTCCGGAGCTGTTTAAAGGTAAGGCGGGGGATCCTGAGGCAATGGGCTCGCCTGCACCCGGTGGCAGGGTGTTCACGCTAGACCCGGCAGAGCCTAACACGGGTGCATGTGCAGCACTTGGCGAATCAAATCCTGGCAACTCACATTCTGTCAGAATGGACCCTACAGGTTGTGGGGGCCAGCCATCTTGCGGAAGCAGCGCAGGCAACTTCAGCGGCGAGCCTCTCTGCGGAAGGTGTCTCCACCGAGACAGATCCTGGAACCTGGAGACCAAGGACAACCTTGCAATGACCTGGGCGTTGCGGTGCTGCAGGCAGCTGCTTTACTCGACCTCGGTGCAAGCCTTGCCTTCTTGGGCGGTGGGAGGTCGCGAGACGTACAGGACACGGCCTTCTGGACAATCCTCGAGTGGTAACTGAAGCATATGGCGGGGCATCCTGACAGGCTGTGTCCTCCAGTGAAAGGCTTATACCCCTCGATTTCTGCCTGGCGAAGCAAGACACGACGCTGGGTGTGTAGAATCTGGATGGCATCAACCGACCCTGAGAAAACAACCCCAAGTCCAACAAGCTTACGAGCCAGGGCCCCCAACAACCAGGCCGATTGAAGAGGCGATGCCAGTTGGCCAGTGAGCGCCAGGCTTAGCTTAGGGCACTCTCCAAAATTTAAGGAAGGATTCAATCCGTTCAAGAGGGCCACTTCTTGCGCTGACGGGTAGCGGTAGCCTGCACAGGAATCCTTGTCGCACAACGGTAAGATAACCGAACACAGGCCGTCACGCTTCAGCCTTTCCCATGAAAAAGGAGCAATGCGGCACTTGCAAGGGCATGCTGACAGGGCCGAGCCCCAAGAATGGAGCGCGGTCGGCATGGGTTGATTTCTCTGAAGGCAATAAGAGCTTAGAGGCTTCAAGTTCTGAAAGA